TAAGGTAATACGAATTTGCATAACTAAGTGTATCCCGATGAATAGATAGGGATTATTTTTAACGCATGCCTTAAAATCAGGCGCGTGGCTTTGCAGGTGCATGCATATATTAAAGTACAACATATTTGTACACTAATCAAGCGGGCGGGTTAGACAAATCCCGCGGGCGGAAAGAGCGGGCCTTGCAGGTAAATGTTTGCACAACATTTCAGTTTTAAAATACATTTATTTCTTCAAAAAGTTTTACAAAGTTATACTTCTAATATATATCGTCACTTGTTTGAGACGTTTCGCTATCAGATTCGTCATCGTAGCTGCTTTCATCTTCCGTAATCCATTTGGTATGTCTTGGGACTGCCATATGAGAACACAGTTTTAACCTCTTTGTAGTTGATAAATTACTGCGTTGGCCTTGCCTTCTCTTACTTCCGCGCCCTGCTTGGTGTAGTAGGGCTTTTGCTCCTTGTTCGGCAAAGTCTTTAACAACGTCACCTCCGTGAGTCTTTACAGATTCTCTAACATTTTTCCCTTGGAGTACATCCATTCTGTGGCTGCTTGTAATGCTCTTTTGCCAACAACTTTAGCACCTTGTTTGAATAGAGGGATAGCATATCTCGCAAGGCTCTTGAAAATACCTCCGATCCCATAACCTCTTTGAAAACGTGCACCGCGATACCCAGTGATGTTTCCGCCACGTTGTTGTCTCAAGAAATGGTCTCTCAGTAGTTTTTCGTCTAAAACAAGTGTACCTCTCGGCATGTTGATGTGTTCAGTTCAACTTCACGCAGTCAACTGATCAAATATCACTTTGGTCACCTATTTTATGGTTAAAAGACTGCCTTTCATCCGTTCTGATATCTATTATTTTACCTTGGCGACAATGTGGACAGCTGGCGATTACATGCGTGAAATCTCCCTTGAACACTTGAAAATCACAGATCATACAGCGACAGCTTTTACAATTCGGATAAAAATCTGTCCATGTGCATACGGGGCACGTACTCAAATGGGAGATGTATATATCTTTGTTACAACTGTTACAAGTTGCGTCAGCATCAGATTGTGTATCCTGACGGGACCACTTGTGGGCTAACATAGAAAGGACATGTCCATTTACAATTAGGCTTTTATCAATTTCCAATTCTGCAAGACCTTTTATAAAAATGCTCAATCCAGTTGGTTCGGGAATATCTGGATGATAAGGCGTCACGCAATATTTCAGAAGGTCTACAATGTCAGTTCCTCGTATATTATGTCCTCTGTAAACGATTTCTCCTTTTCCATTCCAAGTCAAAATCCCCGTAGAGGTTAAAATAGAATGAAGGATTTCTTCGGCTTCGTGTTCATCATCAACGTCAAGATATTTGAGAATGTCTTCAAGTCTCCACTGTTCAGGAGATGATCGTTTGTCGCTATCCATGATTGGAATGAGGAGATGCCCTTCATACTTTTTATTTTATACTAATTCTGCAAGGCCTTCTAAAAGTGGTCCAAGTACCAATCCCAGAAAGCCGCTTCCCCGCTGAACAAGAATTTCCTTTTTTCGTCCTAAAACTTCTATTTCTGTCCGCTAAATCAGCTAGATCTTGTTTGAAAGGTCTGAGTTTGTCCTTTGTTTCTTTAGAGTATGTGAAATTTTCTATACAATGACACAAGCATCGAATTTGCTCAGCTGATGTAGAATTAAGAAGAGCTTGCTGTTGAGTTGGATGAGAAGTACATAAGAGCTCTACAAATGGTCTGTGTTTCATATAACTGCTAGTCATCTCTGTTCGGCGGTCAGCAACGGAATGAAGATTTAGTTGGAAATAACACATATACAAGGGTCGGCACGCCCTCTATAGATTAGGTCTAGACAATAGTCTTAATAGTCTTTACTATAGTCTTCATAGTCTTTAATATAATCTTAATAGTCATGACTATAGCCTTCATAGTCTTTACTATAGTCTTCATAGTCTTTACTATAGTCTTCATAGTCATGACTATAGTCTTCATAGTCTTTACTATAGTCTTCATAGTCTTTACTATAGTCTTCATAGTCTTTACAGTCATGACTATAGTCTTCGCAGTCATGACTATAGTCTTCATAGTCTTGACTATAGTCTTCATAGTCTTTACTATATATAGTCTTCATAGTCTTTACTATAGTCTTCTTAGTCTTTACTATAGTCTTCATAGTCTTTACTATATATAGTCTTACTAGTCATGCTTATAGTCTTAATAGTCATGACAATAGTCTTAATAATCATCACCACAGTCTTCATAGTCGTGACAATAACCAACGGGATAAATGTGCCTCTCCACCCTTGCTTTAAATCATTTTACACTGACTCTTGAGAAGTAAACATGTCTTATGAATGCGACATCTGCGGTAAAACGTTTGCAAATGCGACTAATCTCCTTCGCCACAAGAAGGTTGTCCATGCATATGGAACTCATAATCTTGGGCAGCAAACTCTTACGGTGAATGGAGTTACAGTCATGCAGCATCCCTTTACGTGCATCGTTGCAGGATGTACACAAAGCGGCAAAACCGTATGGGTGAAATCTCTCTTGGAGAATGCTCAAACGACTATAAGTCCTACTCCTCAACATATCATTTGGTGCTATGGTCAATGGCAACCGTCCTATTTTGACATGATGAGGATAATGCCTGGAATCGAGTTTAATGAAGGCATCCCCGACGATATCGACAACGCAGATTACTTGGACGTATCGCAACGGAATTTGATCGTATTGGACGACCTTATGGCTCAATCTGGTAAAGATAAACGTATTTCTGATCTTTTTACGAAAGGAAGTCACCATCGAAATTTGTCTATCATCTATATTGTCCAAAATATATTTCATCAGGGCAAAGAAATGAGAAATATAAGTCTTAATACTCACTATATCGTGTTGTTCAAGTCACCAAGAGATAAACAACAAATTTCTATGCTTGCAAGGCAAATAAATCCTGGGAAAGTACAAGAGTTTATGAAGAGTTATGAAGATGCTACGAGCCGGCCTCACGGGTATTTGATGTTAGATTTAATGCCAACAACAGACGATCAACGACAACTCAAGACCAACGTACTTTCCGGCGAGATTGCAAAGTTTTTACACAAACAGTCGTATCGTCAACCACTGCTTGCAAATGCCATGTATTATGCCGAGCAGCGAATGAAAGAAATCATGGAAGCGCCACAGCTTAGCGCAGTGGAAAAAAGCAAATTATATTCTGATCAACTAAATCTGTTTTTGACATTCAAAAATAAGATATATGGCTCATTCTTCTCCTGGAGTTCCTGAAACCTCTGCTCAAAGTATCCCACAAGCATCTGCAGAGATGCCACAACCCAATGAATCTGTTGAGATACCACCACCAGTGCCTGCACTCCAAAACCTAATTTCCTTACGCCACCACCAACCGAAGGTGAACGACCAAAACACAAGCGCAATTTTTTTCACAATTGGGTAGACTCTACAAATTGGAGGCCCCAAGATTTGGCAATGATGACCCCTGAACAAAGAGAAGGTTACGAACAAAGATTACTTCGCGAGCGGCAAGTTATTCCCAGAAGATAGATAAGAGTACGAGAACTCTTTAAAAATAACAAAAACACCTAAACGTTACGCTCTTAGAAGTAGACCGTACTAAATTTTGTAAAACGTTTGGAAGAAATAAATGTATTTTAAAACTGAAATATTGTGCAAACATTTACCTGCAAAGCCCGCTCTTTCCGCCCGCGCGATTTGTCTAACCCGCCCGCCTAATTAGTGTACAAATATGTTGTACTTTAATATATGCATGCACCCGCAAAGCCACGCCTGATTTTAAGGCATGCGTTAAAAATAATCCCTATCTATCCATCGGGATACACTTAGTTATACAAATTCGTATTACCTTAATCCCCTTAATTACCTACACGCCTCCTAATGATTTAGCAACGCATAACAACGCAAATTTGCAAAGTTTAAAACATGTTTATTGATACAAATACCAGACGATAGCGTCAAAAAATATTACAACTGTTCTAATTCCAACTTCTACCCTTGATAAGCTTTCTTATAATCATCTTAACAGTATATATGTATGTAGGAGAATTGCTAAATAATGTTGAACAACATGCAAATATTGACCATAGCAACGACGTTGACAAGCCAGGATTAGCAACTGTTTAGTTTAAAATATGTCTTGATTTTTGTGACGAATAGATTCCTCGCTATGGAACATACGAAAAATCCTTCAATGTACCTGTGGAAATTTATCTCTTCCGAGCAAAGATACGGCTATAACTCTGCTATATATTAATTTCGATAACAATTTTGCCATGCGAGGGACACGAATTATTCATAGTAAGCCAAGATTAATCCCTCTATTGTATCACACACTAAAAATAAATGCGTAGTCAGCAAGTCTTGTCCAATTTGGCCCGAACAGGCCCGCGTGACGTCATTGCATATAATTATGACGTATGTTAATGATGAGTGACGTCACTACACACCCTCATTTGTGCGGCCCCCTTAATTACCTGCATATATAATGATGCGCCGCCCTGAATTTTTAATGATGCGCCGCCCCTGCGCAGCCCTGAAAATCCGGGTCGAACGGTACCTATATTACTACTACTGAATTTGACTGAAACAACCGCTTAATACAATAAGCATGGAGCGGATGATTATACGAAGTCCATAGCGGTCAGGGGTGGAGCTGCAGAATATTGAATACTATACAGTTTGAATACGAATACTGTATTTTATAGTAGGAGAATATATGAGTACTGAGAATAGGAATATGAATATTCAGAGCAGGAATACGAATATTTGAAACAAATTTGTCAGGTATTTTTGGAATACTATAAAGATATGAATATTGAATAATGCAGTGAACCGATTCTACTTCTATACTCCCGAATCATGGCTATCATGTGTCAGCAAAACTTAATATACTTACGCAAGATTTCTTAACATATTTTTGATATTTGTACACATCTCTTGCTAAACCAAAATCAGCGACTTTGGCAACAAATCCATTGCCAAGTAGAACATTTCTTGCCGCAAGATCACGATGTATCACCTGAAAAAAGGAAAACTTAATTGGTTGCTTATCAAACCATTCGTCCATTATTTTCGTTTCCTATGCAAAGAGTCCTTTATGCGTTTTTTTCCCGTATATATATATATATATATATATATATCTATATATATATATATATATATATATATATATATATATATATATATATATATATATATATATATATATATATATATATATATATATATATATATATATATATATATATATATACACTATATATATATATATATATATATATATATATATATATATATATATATATATATATATATATATATATATATATATATATATATAATTCAAACGCTAACCATGCATGGTAGCACAAGAATAATGGACTGATGATTTGTAGCCAAAACCATGTATGTCCGGAGTTCAGATCTAATTTGAAAATTTTGGCTTAAAAGCCTTAACGGTTTCTGATACACTATAATGGTGTTATACTTGGCTCCTGTGTATAGGCCTATAATTATTAATAGTTACCAGTTGGCTATCACTTTTCATGCAATAAGCACCATTCACGATTTCCTACCACAACTAAAATTAATTGGAATATTAAACATTTCCCGAAATAAACTCAAATATAAATTAATACCGACTTGGTGTCTACACAGCTCCAAAGTGTACCGGTGCTTTACGCCAAAGTAGTGTAAGAAGACCTTTAGAGGTGTTAGTTTACGCTTGTAGTACAGATTTACGCCAAGTTGGTGTCCACACAGCGGCAAGGTGCTTTACACCAAAGCGGTGTAAACTGATGACCTTATTCGAAAGTGTTAGCTTGCGTTCATGGGTAAATTAACACCGGCATGGTGTCCACAGAACTGCATCTATTTAACACCGACGCTTTTGGTCTTGTGGTAACACTCCCAGATTTACAACTGTGCATAATTTCCTACAACAACTATAATTATTTAGAAATTAGAATATATGGACCTTTCTTGAAATAAGAAACTCCATTCCTTTAGCAATCTGCAAAGCAATGTGGATCAACTTTCGTGGACCAAAGGTGACTGACAGATCAACAGCAAGAGATGTTTCATTTTCCTCATAATGATTTCCTCCACGTCGTAGAAAGGATCGTAGATCACCATTAGCACAATATTCCAAAATAATCCATAGGTCATAGTTTGTTCCTATATATTCAAATAAATAATTATAATTTACTAGATGAGCGAATATATATAATCTTATAACAAGATGTAACGACGATAGTATGTATTCTCTTTTGGTACTGAGTGAAAGTGAGTGAAAGTTATCCATTGTTAAAAAATTTCTAAATTATTATGACAGGACTATATTTTATAGTTATGATGAAATACATCAGCAAAGGCATATCATAATACCGTACATTGGTTGATTACCTTTTGTGCAAGCTCCCAATAGATTAACAATATTTTCATGTTCACCAACATGAATTAATATTTTCAATTCCGATTGCAGGTCCACCAACTTTTCTTTATCGGAGTCGTCTAGAATAAGATGATGTTGTTACTATAAATTATATACGTACTCATCTAATGACCTGGGGCCTGTTGTATAAAAAAGTGATTAAAGTTAACCATAGTTAATTAAGTGGAAAGTCATCCAATAAGAAGCGCGTATTTGAGAGTTAATCACTATTTAACTACAAAATAGTGATTAAAAAAGTGATATCATTAAGACTTTTATACAACCGTCCCCTGGAAATGAAATAATTACTACTAATCTAGCTAATGACCTGGAGAGAGGATAAAACATGGGGGGAGGGGACATTGCATTTACCGACAATATTTCAGTCGGTAATTAATCTTCCTTTTCCCAAAATTGTAGGCGAGGGGGGGGGGAGGTAATAAAATTTTCCGGACATACCATTCTTCACTAACTTTCGAATTAATGTACCGTAATTTGTTAAATTTTATGGTAATATTTTCGTCAATTTATCAGAATTTTTGCTAAGACTATTACTTTTTAATTCGAGCCAAAAATTTGCCGATAAATCCGCTATTTTGCCGATAAGACGTTTTCAGGGGTGTCACCCCCCCCCCCTATATAGTGACGGCCCTGCATGGAGTCAAGATGGTGATGCGGCCTAACCGCAGTTCTGCAGCCCTTGTAGGCTACGGTAGAAGACAAGAGCTCTCTCTCTCTCTCTCTCTCTCTCTCTCTCTCTCTCTCTCTCTCTCTCTCTCTCTC